AAATGTAAAAATACTAGCTATTAGTTATTACCTTTTTTGTTTTTGAAAAACCTTTTTTTTCGTGATCAATTAAGGAAATGAAAATCTTAATTAATAGCTCAAGAAGAGAAAAATGGACTAGAAGATTTCTGAAACGAAGTTAAATTTTCTTCATATTCAATGTTATGAACTAAATCATTTCAACTCAAGTCCTTATAGTAAATAAGAGTTTTTTTATGATCTTCTGCTTTGTCTCGTGAGCAATTCTTACTATCAAAAAGTTCAACCAGTCTTTCATAATAATAAAACATCAATGTTCTCATTTGTTTCATTAGACAAAAGATACACAAAATATCGGAGTTAAAGAATACCACAAATCTTGATGCTTCAAAACTTATGCAGCTGATTGTTGTTCTCCTTATCTCAATACCGAGGAGAACATATTAATTAACAACCTGCAAACAAAATGTCTATATTTCGTAGCAAAGTTAAAAGGGCAATGTGTTGTTTATTCTGATTAACGTAGAGTATTCAGAGAAGTAACATTCCCAAGTATCACTTCGCTTTTCAGTCGGAACTTGGTATATCTTATAAATCTTAATACACTAGATAGGACACTACAAAAGTTTTTCCATCCGATCTCTTAAAAGCTGAATATTGAGATAAAATATTTGCCTATAATACATAGACATATTTAGGAGTATCTACAAAATTTCAGATCTCAGGACTTTGTACAACGTGTTATTCTTATATTTCTTTCAGCTCAATCATACACTATTTTTTAAATAGCTCAAGAAATCAATTTCGAACTATGCTTTTATGTGAAAAGATAATTGGTTTAACGAACATGGAAAGTAATGTCATTCTAATATAAACCTGGTGAAATCTAGAAGCTTTAGATTGGATAGTTCGCAATAGGCTTCATGGATTTTAACTGAGGAATTTTACGTTGCTCTTTCAAGTTGTCGTTCAGCTGCTGTTAAAACAATTGATACTTTCTGAGTGATAATTGAAAATGATTCTCACTGGGCATACAAATTAATAGGAGATACTTGAAACGTAATTTCGCCACCAGTTATGTCAATTGTTCGTGTTTGTGTAAATTTCTACGACGTTTTAACAGCGATAAGTACATTATTGGTTAATCGATGACTGAAGGTAGTTCCATGTCCAATCGTCTCGTCATTTACTAATGAGGTTTTGATACACCAACTTCAATGTTGCATTCGGCATTATCACTAGTGATCGACATAACTATATCATTGGAATAAACAATAATAATTGTAGTCGAATGTTATAAAACAACCCAAGCGCAGTCAAAGCTCATCGAAACAAAAGTTTCGACAAGTGAATTAGGCCGCTTTTTTACACAATGTCGCCTAACGAAGCCCATGCCATTGCAATCTGATGGACAGAAGTTAGCCTTCAATAGTTGCCAAGCATAAGTTTTCAAACTACATCATAACAGAATAAAAGATTGGTCTTCAACATCTCACGAAGGAACATATCCAACTGTCGGATGCTGTTCGAACCCATCTTTTGGCTGTGAATAGACCTCAGTGAGATTAAGAAAACCCTTAAAGAGTTCGTGTCCATGACGTGCTTGAATGAAGATCTTATTACCACAAAGGGTGTGGTTGTGGGTGGTGTGGGGTGTGTGGGTGTGAATGCGATTATATCTTTTTTTACAGGCACGCACATCCAAAATTCCATTTTCTTACACTTATGTGGCAATGAAATCTCTTTCTAGGCACGCCAGAGATACGAACTCTTTTAGATTCGCCTAAGTTTCACTGAACCCTACTCGCAATCAAAAGATGGGTTCGAAAAACCGCCAGCAGTTGGATATGTTCCCTCGTAAGACTAATGAAGAAGCTGATTTTCTTAAATCTTTTCTTCATTTCACAGCAAATTATGCGTCAGCTCTCTAAACTAAACACCTCTGTATAGTGAGTGCTCTTTAATGATCCCGATAGCGTTAACAATAAAGAGGTTTTACTCTATAGACAAATGATTTTTTTTCTGTTTTTTATACGTTATCGAAAGACTACAGATAGTTATGAATTAAAAACAATGTCTACTTCATTTTTTTTGCTTAGTAATTAAGACTACATGTTCATTGAATAATTTATTTTTCATTTTCTCTTTTCCTATGTTTTACTGTGTTCAATATGTGCTTTAGTGTACTTTTACTTTATGAGATAGAGATAGAGACATTTTCACCGTTAATGGAAAAAATTAGGTTGTTCTGTATTTTTCTATCATGAAGATAAGGTTTAATTTATTTTTAAAAGACCAAAGAAAAGAATAAAGATTTAAAAAGCACAAAAATTTAGTTTTGAAAAAATACACAACCGATATGAAATTGTGGGACAGCGATGATTGCTTATAATACGAAATTATAGATCATACCAGCTGTACACTTCCTTGTCCATTATATATGTTATTAAAAATAAATTTTCTTCTTTTCTTTGATCTTTTAAACAAATAAAGAAAATCTTATTTTTATTATATAAAAATAAAGAAATATTTCACTTGCTTCTCTAACGATGAAGAGTTCTCTAGTAGTCCTATTATTTGTTTTAAAAAAGTGTAAAGATGAAATGATAGGTGTAGTTCTCATCTTCATTGTTTTTTTCAAATATTCATCATTTTTCTCGGTATTTTTATAACTTAGTTTTATATCTAAATGAAATACATGTAATACGACAATACTAAACAGAATATAATCTTATGATTATTTTAGATAAACTACTAGAATACACAAAAACTATACAGGGTATCCTGTGACTAATATATGGTATGTTTTTAGTAGATAATGCGCTTATATGAAAACCTATTTGATTCATAAAACGAAATAAATTGATAGAAATCTTATTTGATCAAACTGATTCGATTAGTTCAGAATGCTTATAGAGAATATCGTATTATAAGGGTTACATAACATAAGAAGGTAAGGAGAAGAGTATCTGGTTAACCTTACCTGTTGAACTAGCTATTTTATTCAATGTGTATCAAATTACAGATAAAGTTGTTATAAACTATTGGAAAAACGACAAGTCCGTAATCTCGCTGAAAACATTCGAACAGCATTAGTATTATGATTTTCGCTTAACATTGTTTCTCTGCTTCTATCATTTATTCTCTTTTATGTGACTTAATGCTTTTCTCCTATGATTTTGTATAACTATGATCGTTATCTCACGTGCATGTTGTTCGTTCTATTAAATAATTAGTTTCATTATTGAAGAACTATTCATATACAATTTAAATAGAACTCATAATAATAAAAGCTTGCTAGAAAAAATTATCAAACAAAACTTGGCATGTTAAGTTCCAAATAATATAAACTAAGAATGAACTTTCAAACGTCGCCATGAAGACGAACAATGCATCAGGAGTCCATGGCGATGATGATCAACTTATTTTATTCATTGTTGAGATTTCTTTAAGTTAAGAATATTGTACAGTTTCAGTTTACTGGCTACCGACACATCAACGATTTTGTATAGTTAGTGAATATTGATCCATATATTCAGCGTCAGTGTAATTCGTGTCCTAGTAGTTTCTGTGTGAGCAACTTACTATTCAGTATTGACACTAACACTGAATATTCCTAATGCTAATACATCGACCATCGACATAGGTTTTTCGTGTGTTTGTCAACCTCAATGTTATATCTCTAATACAAAATAGCCATATATCCAATTCTTATTGCTTTCATGTCCTAGAAAAGAATCGATAATCTCTTGTTTTTTTTGTATTCGTTTCGAGTCTTAGTCTTTAAACTCGTAACTATTAATTCATTTTTCTTTCGAAACTAAACAGTAAGTTTTTAAAAATTGAAAAATTTTAGGAGCAATATTAAATTTTTCCCGAAAAATTACAATTTAGCAAATGGAAAACAATTCAATTTTATAATAATGAGTTCGAAAAAGAAACTCTTGTTTGAATATTTACAGAAATCTTCGCATCTAGAATTTTTCAAAAGGCTTTTATTGTTTTTTTATGTATATATAATTCGCTATATGCTGATGTCTGTCATTGTTATCTAGATAGGAAATAATATAGAAAACAAAAATAGCATAATAAATTGAGAACCAACTGTCACTTCAAGAACGATGTTCACAAAGAAAAAACTATGTTAAACATAAAAAAGCTACTCTTGACAAAAGGGGTCGAATATGACAGGCTCAAAAAGAGTTGTAAGCTTTATTTTTTCATGAAGATTGCTTTGGCATATACATGTATATACGTCAATAACAGTTAACGGGTTAATATGACATCAGTATTTATTCTTCTATTCTATTTTCGGTGACATTTTCTTATTCAATTAATTATCAACGGATGGTTCTATTATCGAAACAAATTTTTCATTGCACTATTGTTTGATGATATATGGAAAATTCGTCTTAATACAAATGATTTTTAAATCTATATAGTCTGAAGAGTTCTGACACAATGCTATTTCTATTGATGATCATAAATGACTTGGAGACATTCTAGAATCATTTTCACCTTTCAGATTGGATAGATGATTTCAATGAAACTTTTCTCGTATAGATTTTTCATTTATAAAATTGATATTTGTAATTTTTCTATTATATTAATTAAAAAAAAAAGAAAAACGAAGAACAAAACACGAGGCACGTGAAAAAAACAAACTGCATATATGAAAGAGATAAGGAAAAAAGTGTGTGTATGTGTTGGGATTGTAGTACACAATCTAATACTTTTTTTCCAATGATTAAATTATTAGAAAGTCTTCTCCTAGTAATTACTCAACATTTTATCACATATATAAACTACGATGATTATATAAATATTAGAGAAGATATCGACATACTGGTAAGCAGAAAAAAAAGGATATTTGGGAATAAGTACAAATCAAGACAAAAATTTTTTTTTTTATTCAATGAAAATGAAAAGTTTAGGTGATAAACACACGATAAGAATGTAGAAAAATTTCAAAAACAAAATGCAAAATAACCGAAGAAAAACTCTTTACTCTCTATGATATGTTAAGCTTTTACTGCACGTTTTTTATTTTCATCATCTGATGGTTTATTTGATGATCGTACAAGACTAAAAAAAAGAAACGTAATTGTTTAAAAATAAAACACAAAAAAGTAATCTTAATTTCTTACGGATCATTTGCATGATCATTTTCCTCATCATCTGTTGTAGCTGCTTGTCTTGTTGATCTTTCACGTTTTTCAGAGATTAATATAATAATAACTAATACAATAACAACACCAACAATACCAAGAAATGGCCAAAGTGCTGCTAATCGATCTGATAAAAATGAAAACAATAAAAACAGAAAAACTTTGAAAGAAAAAAACAAATCAATTAACTAAATAAACCTTTAACACGTAATAAAATTGTAGATGAAACATCATTAACTGTGCAACGATAATATCCGTTATGAGATTTTTCAATCTGATCAATGGTTAATTGAGTTTTACTTAAAATTACAGCACCATGAGGAAGTTTAGTATATATATCACTATTTTTACTAAAGTCCCATGCTATATCATAAACTTTTCCTTTGTCTTCTTCGCCTGCTTCAATAATACACGTAAAAATAATTCGATCACCTTGAACACGCCTTACAGATACATGAGGAGAATCTAATTTTTCATTAGTTTGATCTGTTTCAATACGTTGTGGTGTAGCTATAACTAAAAAATAGGATTAAAAGTATTTTTTTTTATTGAAATTAAATAATAATATTAAATTTACTTGGTATTTGACCAAATTGACATTCTATCGGTTCTTCAAACCCCGCCTTGCCTGTTTTAACATGCCATTTTTTAACATGACCATCTGCTTCAACTTAAATATTAAAAAAAAAAAAAACTTTCGTTTTTCTTTCAAAACTTTTTTTTGTTATATGTTTACCAAAAATTTTTATAGTGAGTGTTGATTCTTTTGAAGTACTATGAACAATATAATGTCCTGGTTTTTCCTGACTTACAGGTATACCATCTTTATACCATTCAACAAATTGTCCAGCATCATCACCGTCATACACACATTTTAAGTCTAATGAATGTTTTAAAGCTCCTTTAATTTGAACATTTTTGTCAGGTGATCTCATATATTTAGCATTTGATGAAACAAAGATGTTTAATACTAAATTAAATAATTCAACGAAAGATATTTTATGAAAAATTTGATACCTGTCAAAAAAATGAAATAGAATTGCATATTTGCCATGATTTCCAAATCTAGGAAAAGAGGGAGCAATAAGTTTGAATATATTGAGGTTATATTGTTGTTTATTTATTTATTTATTTATTTATTTTAATTTATTTGTTGATTTTTTTAATTAATTATTTTTTATTTATTAATTAAATTAAATTAAATATCAAAAAAATTAATTTAAAAAAAGAAAAAATGAAATCGATTTTTTTTCTGGTTGCTTTTCATTCGTTGGTACATTGATCAATCAAATAAGAGAAAAAGATTGTTGTTTTTTGCCACATTATACAGGTGATCAACATTTGCAATCACGATCACGAGTATTATTTATGATGAATATTTATACTAAACTTATTTTTCGATTACAGTCAAATGCTGGACGCATTCTTCTACAACAACAAAAAATTAATTCATCTATACCTTTAGTAAACAATGTTTCTTAAAAACTTTTGTAAATTATTTTTGTTTTTATTTTGTTTGTTATTAGCTTACGACTTCTATAAGAGAAGCAAGTACTGGTTCAGCACTTGAGTATGATGCACCAAATGCTTTTAAACTTCATATGCTTGATCAAGGTCCAAGTACTCATGTGTCATGTACTCGTGAAGAAGGTCTAGAATTTTATAGAAAAATGCAAACTGTACGTCGAATGGAAGCGTCAGCTAATAATATGTATAAAGCAAAATTAATACGAGGTTTTTGCCATTTGTATTCTGGACAAGTTAGATTATTTCTATCATATAATTAAATATATTCATCATTTTTATCTTTGCTTATAGGAAGCTGTTTGTGTTGGAATGAAAGCAGCCATGGATAAAAATGATTCAGTAATAACTGCTTATCGTGCACACGGTTGGACTTATATGATGGGTGTACCAGTAACTGGTGTACTGGCTGAATTAACAGGTAGAAAATCTGGCTGTGCTGAAGGACGTGGTGGTAGTATGCATATGTATGGACCAAATTTTTATGGTGGAAATGGTATTGTCGGAGCTCAAGTACCACTTGGTGCTGGAGTATGTTATTTAAGATTGTAAAAATAAAAAAAAACAAATTTACTCTTTTATTTACACAGATAGCTTTTGCACATAAATATCGTGGAGAACCGAATGTGTCTGTAACATTGTATGGTGATGGAGCTGCTAATCAAGGACAAGTTTTTGAATCATTTAATATGGCTAAATTGTGGTTATTACCGTGTATGTTTGTATGTGAAAATAATGGTTATGGCATGGGTACAAGTACAGCACGTGCTAGTGCTAATCCAAATTTTTATAAACGATGCGAATATATTCCTGGCATATGGGTTGATGGTATGGATATTCTTGCTGTACGTGAAGCAACAAAATTTGCTCGAGATTGGTGTATATCAGGAAAAGGTCCGATTATTATGGAAATGGCTACATATCGTTATTTTGGTCATTCAATGTCTGATCCAGGAACTAGGTATGCAAAGAAAAATTCGGTTACCACACTTTTCACGATGTAGCTGTTCTTGCTGATAAAATGAAGATCGATTTATTCTCTCTATTTTTGGAACACATTTCTTCACTATTATATTACTAAAATAATTGAGTAATACAACAAGAAAGCAGTTCATATGTTAGAACGACACTTTATTGATGCATGGTCTTTGATCGTATATCAACAACATCTATCACGGTCTGTGAGGGATGCAAATTCTAATTCCTCTATTTCAACACTCCTTTTAGATTATGTTTCACAGAACAATGAATATAACTAAAAGTAAACGCTAATCTTGATATTGAGACAGATACTTGAATTTATTCTAATTTCAATCGTAATAAATAATTAATTAACTCTATGCTTGATATTACAATCATCAGATTTTGTGAATTTTTGTTTTTCTTGTCATAAATTTCATCTCGTTTTATTTTTATGAATCTGTTTACTATTGAAAATTAAATATTATTTTAGTTATCGAACTCGTGAAGAAGTTCAAGATGTACGTAAGAGTCGTGATCCAATAACATCGTTTCGAGAAAAATTACTCAATTCTAAGGCAGTAACTGAAGAAGAATTTAAAGTATGTTTCATTATATTCCAAAGTATTATTTTTATAAATTGATGATTTGCTTTTTTCTTATCATAGGACATTGATAATGAAGTAAAAAAAATAATCGAAGATGCTGAAAATCATGCTCAAAATGATCCTGAATTACATGTTGATGAATTATATTCTCATGTTTATTCGAATCCACCAGCAAATTTTAAAATACGTGGATGCGATAATTTTACATTTAAAGAAATCTCAAAATAAACAAAGTGACATTTTAGAACAAAACATGTTGTGTCTTTATGTTTCATTTAAACAATTTTCTTTGTGTTCGTCTCATACTGTAGGAAAAGAAAAAAACCGCATAAACCTTCAACATTTATTAAGCGAAAAAAAATATAAATTCACGCTTCTTTATTCAATTATTTTAGATAAAATAATGAGTACAAATATTGAACAAGAAAAACCAACAGTGGAATTACCATCTACTGTTTCAACTACAACTGAAAATCCGCCACTTGCATCAACTACAACAGCAACAACTGATGATAATTCAACTGATGTTAATACTACAAGTCAGGCTCCAGTAGTCGAAGAACAACATTCTGCATCATCATGGTTGAATAGTTTTGGTTTATCATCAAATTTAACAAATCAATTAACAAATATAAGTTCATCAATTATGCAAGTGACTTCAAAAGTAGGTGCAGTTGCTAATACACTTGTTCACAAAACATTACCACAACGACCTTCATCACCAAATGAAAATGAACAAACGGATGTGACAACAAAAACTGAAGATGAAAAAGAAATTGAACAAACTTCGGAAGAACCTACAGGCATAGCTGGAATCAACAAAGATCTGACTAGTATGTCACTACTACTCAGAATTACTCATTGTATCTGATACTGTTCTCAGTAACACATAACAAAAGATTTTCTTTATTTTTTGTGGAACTCACACATTATATTTGTCGAAGAAAAGTAAGTTGTAAGTCGGGGTTTTGTGGCTCTTTCCCTCCACAGGAGCAGGTAGAGGAGGAAGGCTACCAATCATTTAGTATGCTTCCATAGCAACCGAGCACAACAAACATCAAATTCCATTCGTAGAGTTTCTTAACAACAAGACTTAGACTGCTCCTATGTATGGAAATAAAAAATTATATTCAAGATATCAAGGATGATGGACAGTAATACGTTGATTTACCACAGTCGTAATATGATCAACATAATAAGCATGAATTGATCAAGTTATAATTTGTGCAAATAATCAATATCAGTGTTTTCTGAGTTTATCGAGATATATAATAGTGTGTTGAGACTTGCTTTAGATATAATGGATATGTGCAACAGGCTTATTTGAAATTTAAATCAATTTTTAGAATATTAATAATGTTAAATTAATCAAAACGGAATACAATTATGAAGAAAAACAATGACCGAATAGCAACAAAGCAAACAAAAGATAGAATGTCAGTAAAGAAAAGCTTTCTGTTCAAAATGCAAAATAAATAAGACAAAATGTTTTTGTGATGATCGATTATCCTTGGGGTCTTGTAGAGATTTTTCGCTTTACTTATTTCGTCTTAGTTTAATGAGACTAAAAAAAAACACAGGTGAGTTCTACATTTTAGTTTCACAGAGGATTGCACTAACATTGATCTTTATTTCTTGCATTAAATTGAAAAATTTCTAAAGAGAAAAAAAAATGTTTTTTTTTTAACGCGCCGATGATGTCATTGTTAGGAATCAATGAAAAACTTATTTGTTTATTTAGGTATTTTTAATGATCTGAGTTCAACTGTGATGAAAGGTGCCCAACAATTAAAACATGTTGTTGAAGAAACATCATTACTTGGTGATTTTACAAAAGAACATGACAAATTTGTAACAGAAAAACGTACGCAACAACGTCGTGAAGAAGCAGCTGTTCCACCTTGGGTTGGTTATGTTGAAGAAGAGGACATGAAAAAACAAATTTTAGCACTTTCAAAGGTTAAAATTCTATCGAAATTTATAAAAAAAAACACTAAAATGATAAATATTCATTATAGGAAAAACGTAATTTTCTTCGAACTCCACCACCAGGTGCTAATTATCATTTTGATATGACTTCTTTATATCCAGTTGCATTAGCAACGCTTGAGGTAGATGAAAATTTAAAACAAATGCGTTTTGATCTTGTACCAAAACAGTAAGATTTATCTTTTTCTTTTTATATATTACAACAATAATCATCATAATATTTAGAATTAATGAAGAAATATTTTGGCGTAATTATTTTTATCGCGTTAGTTTAATTAAACAATCGACTCAATTATCGGCTTTAGCACATGAAAATGGTATTTAGTTTTTCTTTCCATTGCATATATATATATCTGGTTTTGCTTTGTTTATTTCTAGCCAATAGTTCATCAACTGATGAAATTCATGGTGCATCAGACGCCCGTAGTAAGTCAAAAGAATGTTTCACAAGGGAATAAAGGCAACTGTTGAGCGACTTTATAATATAGTGACGATTAAGAAAAGCTTAAGAGGATTCAAGTCTATGACCGTTCTAACGCAATTTGTATTGAAAACAAAAGATTTCCGACAAGGTCAAAACAAAGAGTTTTGACGAAATGATTTGTCTATAGGCAGATTTAATAAGCCATTTGGTAGTTTCAACGAAAACGTGCATGTTTTTCCCGATATATTTAATTTCGAAAATGAAACAACAGTTTATCATAGAAGGATCCAATCATCAAGTTCACTTGGAAATTGATTATTTCGAGAAAAACATGTTCATCTTCATTGAAACTTTCAGAGCAAATAAAATCTACCTATAGACAAAACTCCTTGTTTTAAACTTTTCTAAAATTCTCTTACTCTCAGTAAAAATCTTTAAAAAAAATGTAAATCTTTCTCTTCGATATTTATAATTGACGGTTTTTTTTAAAACTTCCCATATCATTTAAATTTCATTCTATCGTATATTCAATTACATATATAATAATTCTGACTTAGATCGTACAACATCTGATTCACACGATAAAACTCAAGATGCAAATCAAGAATTTGTTAGTGAAGATTATGATGCATCAGCTGTTAGTATGGATGATATTCGACGTGAAATCGAACAATTAACTGTAACAAAACCGAATGCAAATAAAACAAATCCAACTAAAGCTGGTAGTCCAGGTAAAATATAAATTTTAATTATTACATATATTCGCGAAGTTCTAAAAGGCTGCCGTGATAAAAGACTCGAACAATTTTTATACAATTCAAACTATTTGTATGAATTTTTTTTGTAATTTCATTTGTTTTATTTACATTCACGACTGAAACCTAACCACAAGAAATTAAGTCCATTGTTTTCATTTCAAGTGTTTGACAAATAGAAAAGCATTATATTGAATTTCATTTTAAATTAATTGCCTAAGATAAAACTCGTGTGATACTAATTTAAGCGAATGTGCAGCACATCGAATCAGGCTACTTGTTTGTATACATATTTATTAAGAAAAGTTTTATAGAAGAATAAACATACGATACTTCAGATACATGTAGAAATCTTATCATGTGAAACTATAAAACAACTCGATTATACTTCTTGCATTGGGTCAGATTGGTAAACTCAACTAATCCATTACTTATGATTGGTTCAATGTGTGTGTGTGTATATATATCACGCACACAGAATTTGTAACACACGGAAGCCGTTCAAATTATCCTACGCAGAAAAGATCTTGTCGGATTTACCAATTTGACCCGATGTAGAACTCTAGCCTCGTGCATTTTCTAAAGATAAATAACTTTATCAAAAATATTTTTTCTACTTCTCTAATATTTATTAGCGCCGAAACTTTATTTAAAATATGCAAAATAAAACTTTAACGAGGTAAAGATCAAATTATAGAAAGCTCAAGAAAATGATTTGAACTGTCTAAGAGTTGTTCTAGTCATTTTTTTTATCATGACAGACTTTTGAAACTATCAATATATTCATTTTTAAAGGTTTAGATGACAATGATTGGGATAAAGCATTAGCTGACGAACTTGACAATGTTTCTGCTGAAGAACTTGAAGCACAAATAAATCAAATGTTAGCTGGTGATACAAAATAAACATTTCATTTTTTTTTCGATGTATATTTAAACGATAACATTTTAACAAGCTCTCTTTTTTTTCTTCTTCTTATTATTAAAGCAGTGAATATATGCTTTTTTCTTTTCGTTCTTATTCATTATATTGTAAATAAAACTAAAATACACTTTTACTATTAGTTAGTTCAAAATAATAAGCAATAAAAAAAGAAAATAAACAAGACTACATTTTGGCATATTTATTATTCTAGAAAAATTCTAAAACAACGAAATGAATCAGGCAAACCAACCACAGCATGGTCTGTAATGTTCTTAAAACATTTAAAATAATTGATTGGTTGTTGTTTTTTTTGTCGTTAAACAGTAGTGATACGAAATGATCGAAAACAAAGTGTGATTGCCTTCTTTCTTTCCTTCTATTCTGCAAAATGATTTATCTTGTGAACTTTTAGTGAATAATGCAAAAGAAACTCCTAATCGATCAAGTATGAAACATGCGGCTATAGATTGACTTCGTTGATAGTGTGAATTTACTCTCATTTAGAATCAGTAGATGCAGCAAGACTACGTCGACGTCAACAAAAAGATATGCAAAAGGTGCATAATGAACGAAAATCATTGGAAGATTATGATTTATATTTTAAAAGTAAACAATAGTTTTTTGACATTTGAAACTAATCAGAAAATAAAACAAAAACAAAATCATGAATTAGTTTGTATGAGATTCTTTTTTTACAATTGTGTCTTTATTGAATAGATGGCAAACTTGTTTCAATTACTGATGATAAACCTTTTGAATTTCATATATATCCAAATAATGCAGATAATTATGAACGATACAATGAAATTGGTCGATTAGTTACTAACTTTATATATGATCGCTTAGAGAAAGAATGCAATTTGCGACGTATAAAAATACCTGTAAGTAAATTTGTATTAAAAAATGTTTAATTTTTTTGATAAATACAGAAAAAAAGAAAGAATTTATTAAAATTTATAGTTGATTTTATTCATCTATTTTCTATAAGCTCAATCCAAAAACATCTGAACCAACTGGATTCTTTTTTGCAAGTGATGATTTTGACATAGCTGAGTATCTTATGATAATAATTCATGGTACCGGAGCTGTACGAGCCGGACAATGGTCACGAAGGTACTTTATTTCATTGGTTTTCTTTAATGAAATTCTTTTTGTCAGCTTGATCATTAACGAAAATTTAGCAATTGGTTCACAACTTGATTATATAAAACAAGCTCGATTACATGGTTATGGTGTTATCGTTACTAATACTAACTTAAATACAGATGAATCTTCTGAATCAAATCTTAATGTAACACAACGTATTCGTGTAAGTTTGAGAACATATATCAAATGCATTTCATTTGTATAAAAGTTAGTCATATAATCACATAGACATTGGTATTGTTCGTTGACGAAGAAGTAAATATTTTTTACGTTTCGGTAATGCTAATGGTAGGCAACGAACACTTTCAACTAGAATAAGTATAATTGTTAAAATTGATATACACGGTATAAATGCCGATGTCATTTCGTTTTCATTCTGATTGCGATTCTGAAGAAATTCAATTGAATCTTATAATATAAAAAAAACCTATTAGCATAACCCCTGTAGAATTAAAATGTGAAACATGATGTAGCTGCTCTTGCTAATCACAAGGAGATTGTTTTATTCGATTTATTTTGGGACACATATTTTCATCATCCTTTTTCTTAATCTTTCAAATATGCAATAAGGAAACAGTTTATATATTATAATGAGGAGATATTCATAAACGGTCTGTAATCGTGTATCAACTTTTGTCACTAGAGCTCGTCGGTTTGGATCCGACCGGTTCTAAATGTCACAGTCTGTGACACTTCCGTGGTAATATCTGTCACGATCTGTTGAGGGAGAAGATGCAAATTTCTTTTCTATATACTTCAATATTCATTGTAGATCATATTTCATAAGATATATCTTCATTGTGTAACAATGTATTACCAATAGTTCTGGATGAAATCTATCTGATATTATCGTATTCTCTGCGTACCAATGTCCCTGAAGTTGTTCTCTATTTTATATCTTGTTTGAAATTTCGTTTGCATCAGTTTAAGATTTTCATTTCTCTGATGATGTTCTGTAGTCGCCAGAATTGGAGAGACGGATGATGATTCAGCAGGTCGCTTGGAAGATTTTTGCTAAAGTTGACCGGATTTTCGAGAAGACTTGAGAATTTCTTTAGAAATCTGGGAGAAAAAAAACAATAAAATACGTTGGAACTTCTCTTGGAAAAAAGGAAAATTTGTCAAGATTTGCGGATTCGTCCATTTTCTATTCAGAATGTCTCTACATATCAGTCTGTAATATATTATATGTGCCAACCGATAGTTTTACATATTCAGCTAGAATAAATCTGCTTACAATAGCACAAGTGAAATATTTGAGAGATTCACTTTTGAATTCAAAATTTGATTGTCGTCGTTTTCTTGGCAGCTTTGTAGACAATGGGAACTGTGTTAGATAATTATTTAAACGAAGATATTTTTTGAATGTTGAATTATCAGAATATATTATAGTTTGTCTATCAAATGAATAAAAATATTTATTAAATTTTGTTCGACTATCATTCATAATAGAAATTAATTTTTGATTTGTTAATATATTCGTATGTGTCATATAAATAAGAAATAATAAAATTAAATTAATATCTGTTAATAAAAACATAAACTGTATAATTTTTTTAGTAAAACTATTTCGCGCTTTTCATAAAAAGCAAAACAAAAAATAAATTTTATATTTATTTTAGGGTAGTGGATGCGCTGAAGAACATGCTTGTTATGTATGGGAAAATTTTGTTCTACGATGTCACGCTCGTCATATATGTATTATGGCACATTCCTATGGAGGAGCTGTCGTTCTTGAATTGGTTTGAGATATATTTATCATTTTGTATCTTATCAATAATCTTTTTCAGGCTGCAAGATATATGCCTGATTTTGATAGACGTGTTTTTGCTGTGGCATTAACAGATTCACCTATGAGAGCTTATACAAAACATTTTAAGAAAAACGTTTTGGCAATGCTGAAAAAGGTTTTAATTTTAAGAAAAAAAATTCAATGCAAAAATATTTCTTTTCTAGAGAACAATAAATTGGGCAGCTGATAATCATCCAGTAAATGCATATTTGATCACTAGAGATTATGGTGAAGTACGATCAGCAGGTTAATATAAGTTATAAAAGATTTTTAACATATTAAAAAAAGAATTTTTATTCTATTATAAATAGGTCATTTATTACATGAATGGACATCGTATACAGCTTTTCCATATATATTCAAATTTTTTGAAGACGAACGTAAAAAATTTAGATGAACATAAATATCAATGGAAGAAAATTTTTCATGATTCAATCGAGATTTTATTTTACGATATTTTTTTATGAAGAGTTATTCCTTGTAAATTTTTATATTTTCTAATAAATTAATTGAGTAGTCGACAACGTTTTTTTTCTCATTCAATGATAGTCGACTTTCAATTTATCTTACAAAAAAAAAAATTTTTTTATTTTTTTCAAGTCAATTATGTTGTACGTGAGATAATTGCTTTTACAAGTCACCTGTCTCTTTCGTCATTGATATTTTATATGTCAATAAATATTTTGATTAAAATTGAAATTTGATATTTACTTCAATTTGTCTTTACAAAATATACTATTTTTTAGGTAATAAAATCTATAATAGTAAAGATGAGTAGTAATTCTATGAAAGCAATAAATTTTATTGAATGTATCTCTAATAGTTATCGTTGATATGCAGCATATTTTCGAAAGATTTTTATTATTTATTAAGCACTAATATCAATTCATTTTGAGAATGATCAAAATTAAAACGAACGTCGTGTGCTTGTAGGTGTAACAGTTCCACGACCAGTAGTAGTAGCAGGACGTCGCGTAGTTGATGCTGGTGAACCACTTGCTGATCCTGTTGCGAATGCTAATAAAAGATTTAATGGACGATGAGTTGATGTACCAGCTGCAGCTGTTGTCATACGAGCGGTACTTGTGCCTGTATGTGGTCGAGCTGTTGTTGAACCAGAAAGCTTCAGACAACATTGACCATGAAGACTACTAAAACTAAGTTGACATTCATGTGAACTTGGACAATCACGATGATCGACTGTACCACAATTGTAACCAAATATTGGATCAATACAAATTCTAGGTGTTGTACGACATGAACAATATGGACAGCCTTGTGCATCAACTTCAAAGCCATGTGGACATGCAAGCATGCATAGAACTGGTCTACATTCGAGGGCATTTGCTGTTGTCAAAACAACAAGTAAAATAGCAGAAGTGATCCCAATGGAGTACATTGTTGCTGCTCTATTAACTTACTCTTTCGAAAAGCAATTCAATAGAAATCAACAGCAGCTATCTTATACAATTCAATTTTACCTAAACAGTTGGTAATATTCTCATATTGATAATATTTTGAAAGTATTCATGACGTATTTATTGACATGAGTGTTGATATATTATATTTTCAGAAAATCTATTTTGTTTTTTGAGAATAAAGTCATGAAGTATTGATAGTTACTATTTAATCAAATAAACAATTTTATGTCATTGGACTTTAACCTTGAAAAATGGCTATAAATATTATACAGTAGTTAGTTAATTATGATCTAAAGGTAGGGCTATCTCAAGAACAAAATGACTAAATGATTAATATTTTTTTTTCTATTATTCCAAGATAAGAATCTTAGCTAAAAGGTTTAGTAAATTCTATCAATTATTCTAATGGATTGATCCAATCTCTCATTAAATAGAGTAGACTTAATCATTAGAATTTGAATAAAAACCACTTTTTTATATTATCTTGATAAACTTGTTACGAAAAATAACTATTCTCAACTACTAGAAGAAAATGATCTTATCCATACGCTTCTATCTATATATATTATTTAAGTATTACTACAAGGCCGAATTCTCTAAGGATATTCAATATATTTGCTTTGAAAAAATGTATATTCACGTAAGTATAGAGATGATAAAATAATTTCATTAAGAAAAGAAGAATTACTATATCGGTAAAATATTAATTATTCTTTTCTTTACATTTAGTAGTGAATAAAACATGTAATTATGATTGTTATGCATCATTGTCAATAAACTAAATCACATAGTGTTTGTTTATTCTTTATGTCATCAATTGATGCACTTGGTTGCAAATTCTTTTTTTTCTTCTTTACTATCAGCCTTTTGGCATTGTGTTGTTGTCAAGGATTCTCGTTTTCTCTTTTTAGCTTGCCTTGAGTGATCATTGTCATTCTGTTCACTGTAATCGATTTCATTAGAAATAGAACAAGAAAATATTCTATACAGGCTTTCTTCTTTGTTTGGTTTTGTTTCATCTTATTGTTTACTCATATAAAAAAATAAATAACAATACACCTTTAGGATATCATTTAAGATAACTACTAGTATTACTAGTAGTACACACTACAGAACAGCTTCTGTCATGGCCAATGTAGATAGCTATCTTGATGATTCGATAAGTGCTTTGTAGAGCTACGTAACATATTTCTGTTTGTTTTCATTCCCTTAACGTTGAAAACAATCTGTCGGATCCATTTGCGTCTCAGTCGTCATCGTTGTTACTACGTATATGAAACACACACACACACACACACACACAGAGAAAACGCTTCTGTCACTCGGGCATTTGACAGAAGTATCATGCCGCGATATATGATCGTGTCATATACAAGAAAAGAACTATCTATTGGGAAATCTTTTCTATGAAGCTTTAAATAGACATGATGTCATACTATATAAGTATGTGTGTGTGTGTGTATGTATTTTCACTAATGAACTGCCACTACAAAGATCGATATCCATATTGTAGACACATTGTTGAGCAATACTAATCTATAATAGCATGCTTTTCTTTTTTTTTCTCTCTTACTTAATGCACGACTCAGTAGATCATCATTCATTGTGTCAGAGTATAGAATAGTCAAAAAGTGTGAAGAAACATTTGTGCCCGTATACCTTCTATGCATATAGACACTAATGACTCTCATACCGTATGTATGTGAGTTTGTGTCTCGTATGCTTACATACATATGTATGTATACATATATATACATAAAATTGGCTTGGTATTGAGCTTTAACATCCCACCCAGTTTGTGAATATCTGGTGTTTATTTACAAAGCGTGTGATATGATGAAACTTAGCAGGCGGTCCATGACGGTCTATTTTTTACCCCGTTTGAACTTTGATTATTCTTATGTTCTCTGTTTTTCTCTAGCATTCACTTATGTATATACACACATAAAGAACATCATCATCATCATCATCATCATTACCGTACTCGAGTTAGATCAACATAGACGAGGTGCTTAGAGAGACAGAAAAGAAAAGAAAAGGAAAAATGATGGTCAATCAGTAACGTTTGCCACTTGCCATGATTCAATTTGCAAATCGATCATACTTCCTTTCCAATAGATAGATTGCATCGTCTTCGATCAGCTTCTTCTCTCTTGTCAATTATCTTAATATCTTGATACCTTCAACTCAACGCGCCGTTCTTTCGCACTTCTCATCTCTCATTTCTAATTCTATCCTATCCATCGTCAATGTCTGCTGTCTCTTTTCTTATTCCTTTTTTTTTGACTTTTGCTTCTATTTCTCCTATACCCGAAAATTATTTATCATTGAGTGCAATAGATGATTAGTGGGGCCTATGGTTGTCTTTACTTTTGTATGTATATTCTTGTTTCTATACGACGATACGGTACGTATAAATGATGACTTGTATGTTATGTGGCACCACATGCCAAAGAATTAGTGGTAAAAATGTATAGGCAGCAGCAGTAGTAGTAACAACAGAAAAATCATATCAAAAAAATACTGACGATAGAAAAAGGGAACGGACAGGAGAGACCGAGAACGGTTAGAGAAGGAGGGAGTGGGGAGGGGGGGGACAGAGAGGAACAGAGAGAAGAAAAAGAGAAAAAAAGAAATCAACCGCTTGAGTCGTACGTAATCATTCATGCTATGCTACTACTATTGCTACTGGTAGCAGTGTCGGGAGAAATTTTCTCCTTCATTTCTCTCCTACTCGTTTGATCATCCATATAATTACGATCACCCTAACAGTGTCTTGTACAGTCGTTCGAAATAATAATCATAATAATAAGAAGTCAGGTGTGTAGTGTGAACAAAGAAAAATCGTAAAAACAGAACAAAAAATAGTGAGATTTCTTTTTTTTTTTGCTTAAATAAACTTTAGGTGAATATCCTTAACAAGGTCATACGCGCAAATTGATAATCACCCGGACAATTAGGTTTTCTTACATATATATATAATCAGCTTATAGCAGAAAGAGAAAGAAGCTCGAAAAGTGGCTGACCTTTTCTTATTCTATACGATGGGCATCTGAAGATGGTGTCTTTGAGTATGTCAAAATGTTTTTCTGGCAATAGAGTAATATAAGACAGTTAATTATGAGAATAACAAGACAGTACTTTCATTGCAAAACAAGCCTTCAGGTCTATTTACATGTTATATATATATGTATATAGATATATACATATACATATATATATATCCTAAAAGATTTCTTCTTTTTTATCTTCAGATTCTATAAAAAAAAAAAAAGCTAAATAATGTTATCATCATGTAATCAAGTGTTATTATTAACTAATAATAATATAATTTCGTTTATTTTTAAGCTTGATTTAACGTGAATACAATATATAGTAGAAATGTTCTTAGTATTATTTATTGTTATTTATTTAAATTTATTTCTTTTCAACTCAACATTATCATCACTATCAAATACATTAGTTTTTTCAGCTGGACCTAATTCATATGTTGCATTCGATTCATGGCGTCCATGTCTTAATGGTTATGTTCGTTTTGATATACGAACAAATGCAAATGATGGTACACTTGCATATATAGATGATCGTGGAAAATTTGATTTTTTTTATTTAAAATTAATTGAAGGTAAATTACGTCTTTTATTTAATTTGGGAAATGATCGTCAAGCTTTAAATGTTAATATGAAAATAAATGATGATCAATGGCATACTATTTTAATAAAACGTGATGGACAAACAACAATACTTAGTATTGACAATGGATTAGCATCAAATTCAACAATAACATATTCAGAAGATTTATATTTTGGTGGTACAACACATAATGAATATCAAGCATCACCCTTTTATTTCGGAGGTAAATTGAATTTGACTAGAGATTTCCGTTATTGATGAAACATATCTGTACCAGTTTATGTGATATATATAGAAATAAAACGAGTCGTGAAGGTCATTCTGAAAAAAAAAACAGAATGTCATAAGATATAAACATATTGGTTAATAATAATTATTAGATAATTTCTGCTATGTTATAATTGGAAAAAAATAGTTTTCTTTATTGATATATATCGACGTGTTTTTTGTTAGAACTCATTTGAATATGAATTGTAGAAAATATGTATATGAAACATTTATTTGCTTCTCTTTTGTTTGAAATTATAATCGATAAAAACTATTAACGGAAAGGCAATCATCCTTTCTTTCCGGAAAGGATAAAATTTTATCAAATAATCTATTGATCTTTCAAACACGTATTTTTTTTATACATGGCCGCAAACATTTTAGAAGAGATGAAAAAAATTTAAAATAACTGAAGTTTATTGGAATTTTTAATTGCCTAGTTCAATAAAAAATACTTATTCTATGTAGAACATTCGATGACTTTAGTGAAAAGAAAGTTTCAAAAGACGAATAAAATCATTCAATCAAAAAAAACAAATCATTTCTTTTTGTGTGTGTGATTTCTAAAATGAGTTTTATTCTCCATTGATTTAATACCAAATTACTTTTTTTCCAGGTATTCCAGCAGCATTAGAACGACCAAGTAATGGAAATTTATCCTCATTTGATGTCTACATGCAACCACGTTTTCGTGGTCGATTACGTAATTTAATCTATAAAAATTGTACCAATTCTCGTCTTATTCAGCCCGTTCATTTACAAATCTCAGGTGGCGTTTCACTATTACAAAATCATCATTGTTCTAGTCAATTATGTGGTGTTGGTATATGTTTAATAACCGATACAAATTATAAATGTTTATGTGATGAAACAGATTATCAAGGTGAACATTGTGAATATGAACGTAAACCAAATGAATTAACATTTAATGGTAAAAATTATTTAAAATACAGTTTTAATCAAACATTATTAAGTATAAATGAAATAATACAATTTCAATTTAAAACAAATCATTATAATGCATTATTATTTCATATAATTGAACAAAATTTATATATTAAATTAAAACAAGGACAAA